CGATGCCCCTCGAGCTCGACGCTGTTCGGCCTTTGCAGCGCGCTGCCGCGCCACCTCCGGTCAGCGCCTCGTCGCGGTCCCAGCCGTTGCTCCGGGCGCACTCCCCGACGCGCATATCAAGAAGAACCAGGCCGCGGCCAACGCGCGCCAGATCACCGCGCGGTCGGGCACCTCGGCTTGGCGGTGCTTTGCCAGGGGATCAGCTCCATCATGCGCGACGTGGCGGAGAGCTCCCAAGGCAGGCGTCGCCGCGGCGCGCGAGCCCCCTTGGCGGCAGCCAGACCCGCGGCTTGCCCGCCATAGGGTCGCCAGCGCCGACTGCCACGCGCTGGCGCTAGATGCCAAAGATGCGCTGCTTGACGGCTCCGAGGGCCCCGTGCATGGTCGCGCTCAGGTGCGCGAAAAATCAGCAGCTCCCCCCCGTCGTCGCGCCCGTCGCCCCCCTTGGCTGGCGACCGATCCCTGATCTGGCAGAACAACGCCCATTGCCTCCAGCCCAGCTCGTAGACCCGGCATGTGCTGCCAGCCACGGCCCCCGACACCATCTGGCCTTTGGCATTCCCGAGCTCCGCGAGGTGGCGCGGTCCGCCGATCGGGGCGCCCCCTGCGCGGCGCGGCGAGCGCGCCTCTGGCAGGGCCACGGCGCGCCTGGAGCGGCCACCTCGGCATCATCTATGAGGACGACGAAGCGGTCGCGCCACGTCCGCGCAGGCGCGACCTCCTCGAGCAGCTCCGCGGCCGCTGGCAACGACCCCTGCCCCTCCTCGGCCTACTCGTCGGGGCTGGCGGGCATCTCCTCCGGCGACGCCAGCGGCGCCGCCGACGCGCGCTCGAAATCGTCGCTCGGCGCGGCTGCATGGTGGGGCGACTGCGCAGCTAGCGTCGCGTCGATGTCCACCATCTCCGAGTCGGGCGGGGCGGCCGCGCCCGAGGCTGCCCCCGGGGTGCGAGGGGGGTCGCCGCGCGGGCGGGGCGGGGCACGGGCGGCGGAACGGCGCTCTCTCTGGGCCTGCGTCGTACGTCTTGACGTTGACGAAGCCTGACAGCTCTCTTGAGCGCGCACTTGCGTGGGTCGGCGCGGTCCTAGCAGCGCTGCCAGAACGCTCAGGCCGCGGCGACGGCGCGGGCCCCGCCCGCGTGGCCGTGTCCTGCGGCGACGAGGACCTCGCAGGGCCGGGGTCGGCGGCGCGCTGCACTGCCGGCCGGCCGCTGCAGTCCTGGCACCCCCAGCACTCCGCCTCCACGCAGGCCTCGCAACGCAAGCCCACGCAGGCGCGGCAGCGAACGCGGAGGGGGGTGCCCGCTGCCGCAGCCCACGCAGCGTTCGCCAAAGCCTGGCGCGCTCCATGCAGCCGCGAGCCCCCCCGCCCCCCGCCATCTCCGTCTCTTGGGCCCTGGCGGCAAGGGGGGGGCCCAGCTGGGCAAGACCCTCTCGCAAGCACCGCGTCGATCATGGCGGTAGTCGCGGCCTTGCGGCATCAGCCCGCGCTGCCCCCCTTCGTCGGTCGGCCCTCCAGCACTGCGCGCTGGCGGATGTCGCTCCGCCCGGGGCCCGGGGCAGTGGGCCGTCGCATGGGATCCTTCGCGCATGTGACAAGCAAGTGCTTTGCGGTAATTTGGGGGTGGCCTGGCCGACTCCGCGGTCTGCGCGCCCTCCTGGCTGGGCGGCGCTGGGGGGCGGGCACAGCCCGCGCGGACGCATGTTTGTTCAGCGGCGCGATGAGGACATCGGATCGCGCCAGCACCCGCCTCCGGCATGGTCGGCCTGGGGATCCTACGTTGCGGACTCGGTCGCCGCTGACCCCGCGACGGGCCCGCCGCGGGGGAACTTGGCGAGCGGGCGAAGAGGCGCGGGCCGGCGCCGCCTGCTGGGCGCAGGCCACGGCCGATAAGAGGGCGACGATGGGCGGGCCAGTCGAGCTGCACGACGACCCCGCACATCGCAAGGGATCTCGGGACGAGCACGACACGCGCCGCCCGGAGGTTCGCGATGCTTTCCTCAGCGACGCCCGCAGCTGGCGCCATCTATACTAGTGGCCGGGCTTCCCCTGCACCAGCTTCGGCGGGCGGCGGCCCGCGCGCAGGGGAGGGGCCCGCGGGTTCGCCGGCCGGCCCGAGTTGCGGGCAGCACGCGACGATGGCAGCGGAGAGCTCGACCATGGCGCCTGCCCGCGGCAAAAAAACCGGCACCAGATGGCCGCTGCCCTTGCGCAACACGAAGACCCGAATTTTGGGTTGGAGGGGGGACCGGGCTTCATATGTTGCCTAATGTCCCCCGACCTCCCCCCTGGAAATTCAAGGCGCGTCGGGGCCTTCGGGCTGGGTTTGGGTTCCGGTTGGGCGGCGACAGGCTGCAAGGGGCCAATTGGTCAGCAGTCGACAGCGCGGGTCGCGCGGCGCGCGCCCCGCCGAGCGGTCTGCCTCCTGCGTCTGGGCCTCGCGGCAGCGAGGGCATCGATTCGCGACGTCTCCTGGGGCGCAGGGCGCGGCATCCTAAGCGGGGCCCAGGCGGGCTGCCCAGCCGTTCGCCATGATCTGTCGGGGGCGCATCGACGCTCAGCTCTGCGACGAGCGCCGCTGCGCTGGCAGCCAGGTCCGTGGGCCCTTGCGGCAGCAGGGCCCAGATCCGCTGCCCTGCTCGTAGCTCCGCCCGGTGACGACTCGGGCGTGCCGGGTGCCCCCCTGGGGCCGCTGTGCAGCTCGGAGACCGTCGCCGCTGGAGGCCCGCTCCCAGCCCGAGCCGGGGCGGCCTCGAGGCGCAGCCGCGCCAGCTCCGCCAGCTCCTGCCTCCCCTGCTCGGCAGCGCCCTGGAGAAGTCGGCGCGTCCCCCGGGCAAGTGCCGACGCCCTCCGTCCGTCAGGCGTCCTTGGCACTAAGCTAGCTATAAGCGCGGATGGGCGCCTCAGAAAGGCCCTCCCTCCTCGGGGTTAGTCTCGCCCTGCATCTGGCCCTGCCAGCTGCGCCCGAGCCGCGGGCCCCGGCCCGTGGGCTGCGAGCCAGTCTACGCTCCAGCGGGGGGCGCGTGGTCCCGGCGCCCATCACGTCGGGCCCCTGAACCAGCTCCTGCCTCTCCCGCTCAAGGATCGTGAAATCGAGATCCTGGTGACCCACGGGTGATGCGACCTCCTCCGTGGCGGTCAAGGCGAACGCTCCTCGGTGGCCGTGGCGACCCGTCCCCTGGGGGTGCGGGCGTCAGGCGACGCCCTGGCGGGGGCTGCCGCGGCCGCCATCTCCCGCGCCTCGGCGACGCCCGCTGCGCGGTTCTCAACGCCTGCTTGTTGGCCGTGCCCCGCAGCTGCCTGATGACACCGCCGACGTCCTTTGGCTCGATCCGCGGCCCGGCGCGGGCTCCGCCCCGGCGAATGTCCAGCGCCTCCACGTTATTGATGACGTTCTTGATGCCCTCGGCGTGGCTGCGCGGCCAGTCATGCGCCTCGCTCAGCGGCGGCGTCCGCTCCAGCGCACCGCGCCCCGGGCGGCCCTTGGCGTCGGCAAGCGCGCGGGCGCTCGCGCGCTCCAGCTCGCCCGGGGAGAGCGCGCGGCCTGCGAGGCGCGCGCTTGCCTCCGCGGGGGGGGGGGCTGCCGAGCGAGCGCCTTCGGGCTCCGTTGACGGCGGCGGGCTGGTCTTGCCCTTCCCTGCGCCCCCGTCCCCAGCGCGAGCCTCGGCGCCCCCGTCAGCGAGCGCCCGGCCCGCCGGCGGGCGGCGGCGGCCCGGCGTCGAGGTCGAGAGGCCCCCCCGCGCTCGTCAAGCGCAGCAGCTCCACATCGCGGGCCCGGTCCCAGTAGGCGCGGCGCGCCTCGTTCTCCAGGCGGCGCTCGATGACCGCCCCGCCTCGCGGGCCCTGGAGGTCGACTCGAACGAGCTGGGGAGCTGCAGGAAAGCGCGGCCGCCCCGGCGCGGCGCCAGGGCGGCGATTGCGCGCCTGCCCCTAGATTGAATACTCGACGTGCGTCGCGCGCGCCCCAGGCGACCTCCCCCCCAGGTATCCCGGCAGAAATGAAGGTGCACTTCCTGGGGTTGCACTCGTGAGAGCTGCGCAGGTCCTCCAGCGCTTTCGCCAAGGACCCCCAACGTTTGCTCCGTGGACGCACGCGAAGACCCGCGCGCCGTTACGGACGCGCCAATGCTTGTCAAGGCAGCGGGCTGGCGCCCGCGGGCGAGCCTCCAGCTGGCGCTCTGACGGCGGGGCGATGTCCTCGCGAAGCGCTCCTCGTGAAGGCAGCGCGGCAGGGCGCCCTGCAGAGCGCGCCCGCCCCAGCAGCTGGCGCCGATGCCGCGGGCCGCGCGGTGGCCCAACGGGGTCGGCCACTGGCAGTGCAGCAGCAGCGCGCCGGAGCACTCGGCCGTCTCGAGGATCGCCTCGGCGGGCGCCTCCTCGAGGTCACCCGCGCGAGCGCGAGCTGGACTCATGGCATCCACAGGTGTCGGCTAGCACCTTGGACTCGCCCCCCCCGCGATGCTGCTCGGCGGGCCTCGCTTGACATGATCCTCGTCGCCTCGCATGCTCCGCGCGGGAGGGGGGGGGCGGCGGCCGCGCCGACCGCTGCCGACGCCAGCCCCCCTGGCCCCGGCCGGGCCAGGCCAGGCCGAACTGGCGGCCTGTAGCGGCGGCGCGCTGAAGCCGACCGGGCGGCCGCTTAGGGATTGGGCGGGCGCTGGCGACCAGCTCGCTGGCGCCATGGCGGGGGCCTCGATGCGACCGACGCTCGGCGCCGCCGAGGCCGCCTGAATGCCAGGTCCCGACAGCTTGGGGCCCCCGCCCCTCGCTCCCTGCGAACGACGGCGAGTCGTCTGCATCGTGGCTCGGCGACCCGCCCCTCGAGCGCGGCCCTCTCGATGGGCGCGGCTCTCCCGCGGGGCGCCGGCGCAGCTCGGCGCGGCGATGCTCGGGCCGGACGCCCTGGGCCGACGGGGGGGCCGCGCCGTCGGCGGCCGCGGGCGGGGGGCCGGGCGCTTCTCGCCCCCAGAGGGGGCGCGCGACGACGCGCGGCGCGCTGACCTCGGCGCCGGGGCAAGGCGCGGGGCCCCCCGGGCCCGCCAGGCACAGCGACGCGCTCGCGATCGCGTCGGCCGCCGCTCCCTGCAGGTCGTCGAAGCCCCACTTGCACTGGGGCTGCTCTGCCGCGTCGACGCCCGCGCTCTGCGAGCGCCTCTCTTCCAGGAACTCCTCCGCGAGGGCGGCCGGCCACGGCAGTCAGCGGCGGGCCTCGACTGCGATGAAAACTCGCGCCTCCGAATGGCGATCTCGGAGCACATCGATCAGGTCGCCACTGCTCGGCGGCTCGCGCCGCTCTGCGGGGCGACCCGCCCTGCGGCCGCCGCCGCTGCTTCGCGGAGCGCCCCCTGGCGCCGTCCGCTGATGGCCCTGCCTGCGCTGGCTCGTCGAGTAGGTCATCGCCGCCCCCGTCCTCGACGGCCTCGCCGGCTGGCACCCCGGCGGCGACTCTTGCCAGGGCGCGCCCCATCCGCCCCTGCTGCCGACGCATCCGCGGTTGATCGCGGGCAGGCCCACGCCGCGGCCATCGGCGGCTACCCCCTGCGGCGCGCGATCGGCATCGACGGGCGCGACGAGCCGGGGGTCGCCCGCGGCGCGGGCCTCCGCGGCGAGGCGGCCGCCAGTGAGCAGGCTCACCTCACGCGGGGCCTCCGCGATCCAGTCGAGGGCCGCGATCCGCCGGCTGCCCGGGCCTGTTCGCTCGCGACGGTCGGCGACGGGCGCGGCGCCCAACGCGCAATTGATCGTCTCGCTGTCCACGCTCGCGACCAGCGCCAGGTTAGTCGATGCCCCACTCCGCTGCGAGGGGGTGGATGTCGCTCGGCTAGGCGGCCGCGGGCCCTGGGCTGCGGCGCCCCGGGGATGGGCCCCGCCACTGGGGCGCCGACCGCGCGCCGAGCCCCGGGGGGGCTCGGGCGGGGGCGGCGTCGGCGGACCCTGGGCCTGGCCCGCCGTCGACGACGTCTCCGAGGCGGGCGCGGCCGACCCGCGAGCGGCGCTTCCCCGAGCGCATTGCGCGGCGCTGGCGCGCGCGGCCGCGGCGGAGGCGGGCCGCCCGGCAAGTCGGCGCCCTCCGCCAACAGCAGGGCAGCGTCTCGCGAAGCTTGACCCCGACACTTGCCCGGCGCCAACTGCTGCACTCGCCCGTCGCACTCGTGGGGCATCTGGCCAGCGCAGCACTTGCGCTCCTCGGGCCCTGACTCCGTCTCCGAGAAGTCCCCGCGCGCGGCGATCTCGGGCGGCGGCGGCGCCCCGCGCCGGCGGGGGCAGAAGCGCAATCCGCAGCAACGCGCGCCCTGGCGCCCAACGCAGCCACAGCTGCAGGCCAGGCACTCGCAGCCGCAAGCTCCCCGCAGCGGCCCCGCGACCCCCATGGCGCAACGGGCGCCGCGCGCCACCAGGCCGAGCTGCGGGCCTCGGCCCATCTCTGAGTCGGCGGGTTGGCCCAGCTCGACCACGTCACCAGCATCGACGCGGTTGTTGGCGGCCTGGCACGGCGACTCGCGGCGCAGGCGCAGCTTCCTCGTCGGGGCGCCCTGCAGGCAACGGCACAAGCACCCAGAAGTGGACCCCCAGACAGTCCCGCAGTCGCAGATAAGGCCTGGCGCCCGCGCCATGGCGGCCATACTCGTGATCCTCCGCTGACCCTGGCAGCCTGGTTCTCCACAGCGAAGACAGGGTGCCGCAAGTGACCACTGGCGCCGCGAGCTCGGATGTCGCCGCATCTCGCGTTGTCCAGTGGTCGCGGGGTCCCAGGGCCAACCGGCTCTGACGGCGGGGGCGGCGGTGGGCCCGGGGGGCCTGGGCGGCGGCGGCTGCGGCGCCATCCAGCACAGGCCCAGGGCCGGAGACGCGCGCGTCGATCGCGATCGAAAGAACCCGACACCCGCGACCCCCGATCGCGGGACACAGGCGACCCAGGGCGGCCAGGGCCGCTGACCAGACGATCCGAGCGTACCCCCCGAACGCGATGGTCTGCAGGCCTGGTGAAATGGGGGCCCGGGGAGGTCCGCCGCCAGGTTGCCGGCAGCTGCCGCGCGACCCAGGCGGGCCCGCAGCGACGCAGGCGCCCGTCACCAAGCCCAGGCGGGGGCAGCGAGCGCCGGCGGCGGGGCGGCGGCCCCCTGACCGCCGCCGGGCTGCAGCGGGGGCCCGGGCGAGGGGGCCCGCGATTCCCCGTGGGATTCCAGCGTCCGCTCGATTCCCCGAGCGAGTTCAGCAGCCGTCGGCCCCTCAGGCTCCTCTGGCGCGGCCACCATAGCCGCATCGTGGAGCCTCTTGAAGCCCGCTGCGGCTAGATGACTGACGTCATCATAGGTGCTGTCCCTGTCGGTGATGGCGGTATTCCACGCAAAAGTGGACGCGGCGTCCAGGTCGGGCGCCGCGGGCGATCTGTGCGCCCAGGGTCTGGCGGCGGCGGCAGCCCGGCGGCGGCGGCAGCGCCAGCGCCCCTGCGCAGCGCGGCGGCCATCGCCGGGACCGCGAGCAGCGCGGCCGGCACCATGGCGGCCGCGCCTGTGGAGCCCGAAGGGTCTTTCATCCCTTCGAAGAGAAAGGGGACTCGGCGCACTGCCGAGCCAAAAAGGCTTGAGCGAGCCTTCCCTCTTTCTCTGACCTCGCACCCTTTAATCCCTACGTTCTAAGCTGCCGCGCCGAACCGCCAAGAAAAGCTCGACCAGGAAATGGGGACGTCTGATTTCTGAGGCCAAATCCACACTCTGATCCTGACAGCTATGGAAACCGATGTGTACTGAGGCGGGTCGGGGGGCTGTTCGGGCCTCTCCTGACCATGAAATTTCTCGCATGCGAAGCGGCTTCGCGGAACAGTCGCATGTGGTGCGCAAGCTGCAGCGGCGGGGACAGCGGAGTCTCTTCGCAGCTCCAGGCAGCCTCCACGAAATGGCGGAAGTCTTCTTTCTCTCTTGTAGATGTCGGGATGGACAGGCTGGGAATCGGGATCTCGCGGCCGACGGGCACCCATCGTGGCGGACATGGCAGAGCGATCCGAGGCCTGAGCAGAATTCAAAGCCTGGGAAATCCCGTGTGCTTTCCCACATGTGCGAGACTGGGGTGCGCCATGCACCTCGATTTGTTGCGCGAATGGAAAGGAGTACCTCGAAGCCTTCTGCGTGCGCCAGTCCTGAAGCAGAGCAGCGTTAGCGGGATGATCGAGAAGGGAGCGAGGAGGAACGTCAGATATGTTGAAGTCCCAAGACAACACAGCCATCCGTTCCGTAGGTTTGGCCAAAGCATCCTGGAGGATCAGGGAAATCGCCAAAGTGATGTTCTCGAAGTCCCCCACACTAATGCAATGATTGTGAACGTCATGGTGGGAGCAGACGCAGCCTCAAGGGAAGAGGGGCTGGAGATGCAAAACACGATCGGGTATCAGGACATCCTGCCGCACCTCGGGTCGCTCCTCCGCTGGAAGGTGCTGAACAACGGGGAGAAAGAGATCACTCCACCTGCTCGCTTGTTGCCGTGCGCCCGCAGAGAGTGGATCGCTTGGAAGGGAGCGTGGGACTGGAATAGAAAATCCTGGAGTTCGGCCACAGTGCCGTGGCTCTCCTCAATAGCCATCACCGCTCCCTCTTCCAACAATTTACGAAGATACCCCAACCGTTTCGATCGAACCACTGGCTTATAATAGAATAGCGCCCTCGCTTTCCAGGAAGCTGTGTGAAGAGGGACGGGAGACGTGTCGGTGTTGGGCCCTGACCAAACTCTAGAAAAAAAAAGCCAAAAGCTCTCCACAGGTTGGGATCGTCGGCCGGGGCGATGCCACTCTCGATCCTCTCATTGACATTCGGAACGTCCAAGCCCAGGGGAGACCATGTTGGCACTAGCCCACTCGATCTTGGGAGGCTGACCAGGACCTTGACTGTTGACGCCCACCAGCGGTTCCCAACTGATAGATAGAGATGGTGTTCGTGACCTTGTCGGTGAAGAACTTGTCTCCAGGGAGGACGCTCTGGAGCCTGGAGCTTTTCGGCGATTGAGCGTGAGCTCGTCCTTGACCATTGCCGCTGATTTTCTTGTGGGAACAAAAACCTCGCAATGTTGTCCAGAAACCGTGCCCACACGAAAGCGTCGCCATTGACCAGGAATTGTTTAAGAGACCAGCTTCTCCTCTCCTCCTCCTCCTCCTCCTCCTCCTCTTGCCTCCTCGCCCTTCAACCCCCCCAAACCTGAGGGGGATCGATCGGGCGGGACCAGCTTGGGGGGGACCAGTTACCTCGAATCGGCGGATACATCGCCGATTGATCGGCGATAGGCTCCCGATTGCGAATCTGAGCGGTCCTGGGCGGGGCGGGCTGCCGGACCCCTATCGGCGATTCACTGGCGATTGGGGGTCGATGCATCCCTCCCCCGAACCAGTCCCCCCCCCCAACGTTGCCCCTGACCTCCTCCCCGAACAGGAAGAGCTGCCCCGGCGGGGCCTGCTCCAGCGTGGTCGGCGGGGGCATCGCGGCCGAAGCGCCGCCAAGCCTGGGGAGCCCAGGAGGAGTGGGGAACGGGCCCTGAAATCAACGGGACCTGAGCGAAGCGGGTCGCGAAGGAAAACGGGTCCTGAAGAAACGCGTCCAGGAAAACGGATTCAAAGGGAACGGTTCCCGAGGAGACGGACCCCTTAATGGAGAGAACAGCTACGATGAAAGAAACGGGTCCCGAGGGAAACGTGCCCCAGACCGTGGGGCACCTCGCTCTTCGGGCCGCCTCGTCCCCGGAGATCCGACGTCGTGATTTTTTCAACGCGCGGTCCCCAGAGGTCTGGACCCCTTCCCCAGGACCGGTTCTTCATCCCGAGTGCTTCTTGAGGGCCCCGAGGCCCGGTGAGGGGCCCCCGAGGCCGAAAACTACGAAAAACCTCCGCCTCCAGAGTTGAGTTGTCGAAGCTACGGAACATACGTATCGTGTGCGAGAGTTCGAGTCATTGTTTGTAGGTTTATATGCGCAGGAAAACCTCCGCCTTGATTTTTTCAGGACGTTGGATCTCTGGGTCTCCGACGGCCCCGGGGGGCCCGAGCAGGGCCCCCCGGGAGCCCCCGAGGGCAGCGAGAAGCCTCGGGACCCGGCCGCTTCCTGGCGACGGGGGCGGGGGCCAGCGCGCGAGGACCGAGAGCGAGCCACGGGCTCGATGCGTGCGGCGCGGCGCCCGCGCGGGCCCGCGCGACGCGGCGAGGGACACCACGCGGTGCGGCCCTTCGGCGCAGAAGCCGCCGCGAGCGGGACGGGTAGGGGGCCACGTGCGAACCCTACCCCTACCCCCCACGATTTCTGAGGGGGAGGGTGGGCTTCGCTTCGCCAAGGCGCTCCCGAGCGAAGTGGCCCCCACCCTCCCCCTCAGAAATCGTGGGGGGTAGGGGTAGGGTTCGCATGTGGCCCCCTAACGGGGGAGGGCCCGGGGAGAAGGAGCAGGGGGAGAGCCGCGGCCGAGAGCCTGCCCGTGCGAGGGAGGGAAGGCGGGCCTCCCAGAGATCCAGCGCATTTGGAAGAAATCACGGCGAAGGCTTTCCGCAATGTTCGGTCTCTGGGGGGCCTTCGCCGGGCCTCGGGAGCGTCAAAAAGCGGCTCAGGATGAAAACCTGGTGCTGGGGAGTGGGTCGAGGCTTCCAGGGACACCGTGTTGAAGGAATCACGACATCGGATCTCTGGGATCGGGGCAGGGGACGAGTCGGGCCAGGCGAAAGGGGGGGGATAGCAAAGGGGGGGTTTGAGAACCAGCTCGCGCAGCTGATTTTCCCGGCGCCTCCCGGCGCCGGAGGCGGCCATGTATCGAGGAGTGGGCCCCAGGGTGGGGCCGAAGCCGGCTGCGTGCAGCAGATTTCGTAACCCCCCCTTTCCCAATCCCCCCCGTTCGTCTTTCGTCCGGCCCGAACGGGGCATCGCGGATGAGCAAGATCGAGCAGCTGGCGCCACCAGTGGTGAGGACCGCTGAGGCGAGTGCGCGCGCTCAAGTCTCAGGGGGAGCGTCGGTCACGAGAGCCACGCCTGCCTCATACGGCCCGAGCTCCAATCCCTGGCAGTGCGAGGCAGACGGCAATCTCCGAGCCAACTGCCGTGAACTACTCAGTCCTGGTCGCAGCACTCGAGCACCACGTGCTCGGCGGTCGGGCAGCACGCGGCCTTCCGGCCCGCCCCATCGCATGCCGTGTGGCTGGGGCACTGCGCCAGAACCTCCTTCTCGGTGCAGACCTTCTCGCAGCACTCGGGCATCGTGCCGCCGTCCAAGGGGCAGCAGTCGCTTTCGAGGCCCAGCTTGGAGCACTCCGGGTGGGCAGAGCACTGCTTTGACACGCAGTTGCTGCTGCACTCGGCGCAGCCGGTCGGCCTGGCGGTGGTGATGCTGAGGCTCAGGTCCAGGGCGCAGTCCACGCTGCCACTGACGGTGATCCACGTGGCGGTTCTGGGGGTAGTGTCTCCCCTGGACAGACGACAGCAACCCTTCCCTGGCCACCAGTTGATCCAGCCCAAGAAATGCACGCATCCTGGCACTCCGCCGAAGTCTTGCACCTGCCTGCCCAGTGCCTGTCCGAGTCGCTCGAGGTGTCCAAGACGGTGTTCGTGGCGCGCGATGCCCGCTGGAGGCTCATCGAGTCGGTGGGCGTGTCGACCGCAGCCTCACGGCGCATCATACCAATGCTGGCGGGGATCGATCCATCAGCATCCACCTCAAAAGCAACCTCGACAGGCTTGCCATGTCGCTGGGGGAGCAGCGCCAGAAACGACGCACACTGCGACTGCTGCCACTAAGATCCGCCACTGTGCCTGCAAGATGTGCAATACTCGAATGCTCTTGGTTATCCTGTTGGGTCTCTGCGGATTTCTGGGGACGACCCCCCCCCTCTGGCACGCATATTCCGGCATCGTCCCTCCCAATGTTGCTACCTGGGCCCCGGCTCCAAGACGGCCTAAGACCGCTCCAGGATGGCTGCGAGGTGTCTCATGGCCAGCCCGAAGACGAAGCACTGCCCCCCAAATAGCTCCAAGAAGCCCCGAGCAGATCCCAAGAGACGCCCACAGGGGCACCCCGAAGAATATCAGTTTCTCTTGCGTCGGTTGCAAAACCGCCCCGGGAAAGCTTCGGGGAGTCCCCAAGACGCTCCCCCGCTGTCCTTTTCTTCGTTATCCTCCATGTCTCATCATCATCATCATCATCATCATCATCATCATCATCATCATCATCATCATCATCATCATCATCATCATCATCATCATCATCATCATCATCATCACCATCACCATCACCATCACCATCATCACCATCATCATCATCATCATCAGCATCATCATCATCAGCATCATCAGCATCATCAGCATCATCAGCAGCATCATCATTATCATCATCATCATCATCATCATCATCATCATCATCATCATCATCATCATCATCATCATCATCATCATCATCTTCATGAGCATCGCCACAACCACCATCAACAGCGTCATCATCACCATCAGGATCATCATCATCATCACGGTCGTTATCGTCATCGCCAGCGTCCTCATCATCAACATCATCAGCATCGCCATCATCAACATCATCATCATCATCATCATCAAAACAACATCATCCAAAATGATCACCGTCATCACCACCGCCAGAACCATCATCATAATCCTCATCATCGTCACCGCCACCACCACCAACCATCATCGCATCACCACAATCATCATCATCATCATCAGCATCATCACCATCATCATCATCATCTCCGTCTCGGCGACCATCACTATCGCAATCGCCATGACCGCCACTATCATCATCATCACCATCATCACCGCCACCGACATCATCACCATCAATCGTCATCATCACCGCCACTAGCATCATCAGCACCAGCAACATCAGCATCACCAACAGCATCAATAGCATCATCTCATCACCATAGAGAAATGAAAAGGAAGAGGAGGAACTACAATTGCGGGTCGGAAGCTGTCGGGGAGAAAGCACGGCAACAAACATAGGGAGATTGCGGGGTTTTTGCTCTTCACGCAGTAAGTCGACATGCGTCGACGCTCGGGCCAAACAGCGGCGACATCTCCCATTTGATTGGGGGTTGCGCGGGCAATTGAACAGCTCTGGCGGAAATATGAGACCAAAGGAAGAAAGGAACCAACAGTGTCCAACCACAAGCACATTGTGGACTCGGCAGGGAGGCGCCGTCGCTGTCTGACCCGACGGGCGCGCGACGCGTCGGGGGAGCGCGGGCCCCCCCACTGCATCGGTGAACTCGCTCGTGCTCTTAAGAGCGGAACTAGAAGAGCCCACGCGCGTGAGCGATGATGGCGCGGGCTTCCTCGCGCTGCATCGCGCGCGATGGCGGCGGCCTCGGGCCGCAAGCACGGGGTCTGAACACTTCGCCCGGGACGTCGGCCAAGCGATGGCTTTGGGGCCACGGGGCTGGAGAGGTGGAAGTGCCGCGCGACCTGGTGAGTGGGGGAGAAGGTGACGGGTGGAGATAGACCATGCGGGGCGCGCGCCCTTTTGGCGCCGTCGCCCTAAACCTCGCCGCGGCCGCGATCCTCGGGTGCCGCTCCAATTTCAAACTCCTCGCGCGATCTTCTCGCTGGGCACGCCGAGCTAGGCGCTGCCCGTCGGCGAGGGCTGCTGCGGCCCCTCGCCGGAGTTAGCCGCGCGGAAGGGCCGCGCTGACGCTCAGACGCTTGCCTTCCCCCCAACCCAGCGGAGATTCTTCCTCTTGGAAGATCGACGATGTCCCACTGGCGCATGAACTTCAAAAGTTCCTCGAGGTGTCCTCTTGCTCGGGCTCGATCTTGCTTTTGTCTGCGTTCTTGTCATTGGCCTCGCCAGCTGTCCCAGCGGCATGCTCGAGGGGGCCGATGGGCGCCGTGGCTCTTGTCCTCGGTCAGGACGGGCGCGGGGTCGACGGGCGAGATGTAGCTGGCCCCGAGCCCGAACCGCGAGCCACGTTGGACTTGCCGCCGTCAGCCTCGCGAGCGAGTGGCTGCGGCTGGACCTCTGGGGAGAAGCGGCAACGAGGCGGCGCCCGCTGCGTGCGCTTGCCCAGAGGTGACAGGGAGCGCAATGCACACGGCGACACGGCCGTCGGCCATTTGTGGCCGCGCGGCAGGCTCTTGGACTAAGGGCGCCGAGAGGCGCTTCGTCGCGGGTAGCCGATGGGTGCCGGTCGAGCCTCGGCCGTGGGTCGACGCCTGCGAATGACCTGCAGCGGCGGCACTCGATGCCGAGCAGAGCGCGCTACAGCCTTGCGTCGTTCAACCAGCCGAAGCCCGTGCAAGCCTTGAACATGAATGGAAACACATGGCGTTGAAATACCACGCCATTCCTCGTTGATCTGCTGTCCTTAACGCGCTCGAGAACAGCTCGGCGAAGGCGCCGTCGGAGGCCTGCCAGGGGGGCGGGCCGCGACCGACCGCCCGTCGGGCCGCCAAGTGCCGTTCAGATGCCCGCCGAGGAAGGGCGTTGGAGGTCGGCCGCTTGAACCGGCTCGACCTGTGGGCGC